ATTTTAGGTATAACAGCATTTTCCATATCACCTCACAAAGCATTTCCACCATGTTTAACATCTTGCACTGAAAATACAGGAAAACACTAATACCTGGCTCTGTGATGGTTATGGAAAGGTTACACCACCAGCAATATATTCTCGCTTCCAAAGGTCACTCACACTGTAATCCCAAATTTCGAGGGCATGGAATGAAATAATCTTGCCTCAGCATTCTTAATTCTGCTACGCTCTAACGACCAACTGTCTACCTTTAAAGTACCTACACTAAAACTGTGGTTAAGAACTCGCCTGCTAACCAAGAGGTTGGCAGTTGGAACCCACCAGCTGCTCCTTGGAAACCCTCTGGGGCAGTTCTACTCTGTCCTATAGGGTTGCTATGGGTTGGAACAACTCAATGACAACAATTTTTTTTTTTTTTTTAATATTTACTAAAACTGTAAAACAGATCAGTAAGGTAATTTCCCATCCTCTAAACGCACTATATATTTTACTTGACAAAAAGTAATCTGGCAAAATTCCCACTAATTTTGAGTATGCCAAATATAATTCTGGGAGTCCCTCGGTGGCACTAATAGTTAAGCACTCAACTACTAATCAAAAAATTGGTAATTCAAACCCACCTAGAGGAGCCTCAGAAGGTCTGGAAATCTACTAAAATATCACAGCCACTGAAAACCCTATGGAGCACAAGGTTACTTTGAAACACGTGGAGACATCATGACTTGGAACGGACTGGATGGTAACTGGTTTGGTTATTTACAGTTCTACTATCTCAGAATTTTAGAGCAGATAACATGAATTAAAACTATTTTTGGTCATTGCAAGAATGGATGAATGCTGATGTGTATAAAGTAAATAAAGGGGGTATACCTTTCTAGATATTTTATAAGTATATACAATGACATATTTACATATAAATATTTGTGTATCAGTTACTTTTAAAAATATATATACATGTAATTTGTTCTTTAAAAACGTAACATACTACAGATATTACTTTGAAATTTTTCATCATTTCACAACACACCATGAACACTTCTCCAAGCCATGGTGTGTGGGTGTGTGTGTATAAAATTTTCCTAATTGCTACAGAATTTTCCATTCTATTAGTTATTCACTCATTAATTTATTCATTCAACAAGTATCTATTAAGAGCTCATTATATGCCAGGCACTGTTGTAGGCACTGGGGATATAACAGTGAATGAAAGAGACAAAAATCCCTGCACTCACTAAGCTAATTGGGGTGTGGGTAGGATGTACCATAATACACCTAATCAACACCCTATTCAGGGACATTTAGGTTGTTGCCAATTTTTTTGCTATTATAAACTGTGTTGTTATAAATAACTATGTTCATACTTTTCTGATCACTCTTCAGAATATTTCTGGGATTTAAATTCCTAGAACTACAATTACTGAGTCGACAAATGTAAGATTTAAAATCTGACAGATATTATTAAATTTCCCTTCAAAACGTTATACCATTTTATAGTCTTACAAATAGTGCATGAAGTCTGTTTCCCCTCATGCTTATTAACAATAAATACTTTCATTTCTTCCAATCTTAATATGCTCATTTCTTTTATCTTGGTAAGGCTGAGCATCATTCATAGGTTTATATGCTATTTATATGTCCTCTGTGAATGTTATTCAGATACTTATTTTTCTATTGGATTGTTTTCTTTTGCTTATTAACTTTGGGTAAATATGATGCATTGCAGTTATTAACTATCTATCACTGTGGCTGCAAATATATTTCTACCAGTCTATTGTTCCTATTTTAAATTTCTTTTTTATATTCATCACCAAACCAAAATTTTTATCATTATGTAGTCAAATATGCCAATCTTTTTGACTTTAGGATTCTTTGTTAGGCATGTAAAGGCTCTCACCATCATAATAGTTAAAAACAGTAAAAAGTAAATATAGTTGAAAAAAATGAGATTTTCTCCTATATAGTTAGTTTAGCCTTCCTTTCAACAATTATAAAATTAAATCTAAAGTGGTGAAGGACCCAGTCTAGTCTGTGGACAAACCAGGACCAAATGGTCATTATTCCTCTCACTATAGCACTTGAGATTTGTCAAGATCATTTTCAAATAGATATATTATTTACAGCTTACAAAAATCTATTTCCCTAACCAGAACAGCTTTCTGAATAAATTACTGAATTTCATTATATCTGAATTCTCTAAATTAATTGTTCTCAAAAAATGCCATAGCACACTCTCTTTTAGGACAAAGATTGAGATATACTATTAAAATCTTAAAATGACAATCTTTTTTCAATTTACTAGAAAAAATAAGTTAGATGATAGAATTTTCTCAATTTTAAGATTTTCTTAAAGAAAGAAAATATATTTTTCTTATAAAGCTTTGAAGTCTACTATTTCTTATCTACTAGAAAGCAATGCCTAAAGGCAAAAGTAAGTGAACAAATAGAATTTCATACAAAAAGAATATTTTTTAAATTAAAAGTAAAAAACAATAATGCCTATTGTGGAAGATTTTCTTTAATGGAATGCATGCTTTTGTTTGTGGCTTTCTATTACAATAACATAATAAAACTATATTTTCTCCTGTAAAACTATTCCTAATTCAAAGAATACTGAAATATTCAGGTACTCTTCCACATATACAAATTTGAGAACCACAGATAAAAGCAACTTGACTATTGAACTTTAGAATCTGTTTCCTACAAATTAATAACTGGGTTGTGGATATGGACACTATACTAATCTTTCAGTCATTTATCAAATAGCTGTTGTTCGTATTTTGCATATGTATTCTGAAGTAACAAAGGCTTTCCTACATTAAACAGAAATTTCTAAGAATGTTTATTCTATAAGCACATTTATAGAGACTATTCTAAACATCAGTAATTGTTTGCTAAGTACTAATACGCTGAATGTATTCAGAATGTTTTAAGAGTTCAAAACAGATAAAGTTTCAGACCCTTTAATTAGAAATAATAGCAGAAATCCACTTTGGAAGCAGTGAGGTAAGCTGTAAAATGCAGATTAAAATATTACAGAAAAGCGACGTCTGTACTTACTCTCAAATGGTTCAGAAAAACAACAGCAATCATAATAAGAGATACAAAGTGAGAGACAGTGTGTGTGAACGTGGAAGAAGGGAGAAAAAGGTGCATATTAACAACTAGTGAATATAGGTGATGGGTACACAAGAGTTCATTGTACTTATTCTTGCAACTTTTTTGTAAATTTGAAAAAAAAATTTAATGAAAAGTTTAAAAAATCATAAAGAAAAATTAGAAAGCACATACAGCTTTGGTCTTTCTGTTAGGGCAAACCCATCCTGGGCAGGGTACGTGAGGTTACGCTCCCCTTCAAACTGCAGCTTTTGAACTTTCAGCATGAAACACAATGATAAAAGGTGCTCTCCAGCACCCATTCCCCACACTGCCACACCTACCCCCACTGCTTAACCAACCTGCTCCAAATTAAAAGAATCAACCTACAGTTGGAAGCGTAACACTCTTCTAGATAAAAGCATACGTTTCAAATGCAACTGTAATCCAGATGAAACACTGTGCCTAGAGAGAGAATGGAAGCATATTCACTTCCCGTTACTTATAAAGCAGTTAAACATTTACTTTTGAATAAAAATTTAAAAATTTCTCCTAACCTAACAGACATCCCGAGTAAATTATAACCTCTCAATGAATGACACAAATGTCGTTAAACAACAAATGAAGAGAGAAGACATCCATTTTATACAAAGTTTTCCTTGCACTATTTTCATTCTTAAGTTAAATATTTCTTTTCCTATAAGCAGGAGCCCTGGAGGTGCAGTGGTGAAGCCCTTGGCTGCTAACTGAAATGCTGGTGGTTGAACCCACCAGCTGCTCCGCAGGAGAAAGACATGGCAGTCTGCTTCTGTAAAGATTACAACCTTGGAAACTCTATGGGGCAGTTCTATTCTGTCCTACAGGGTCACTATGAGTTGGAATCAACTCAACAGCAATAGGTTTTTCCTATATGTGTTTCTATAGAATCTAACTTGATCAGTATCTATATTACAGAGTCCTATTTTTACAGAATATATTTGGACTTCTGGTTCATCAAGACATTTTATAGAAAAGTTAACCTTTAGTACCCTTCCATCTCACCAGCTAGCAACCCACATCCCAGGTCCACAGCAGACTCACTCTCAACTGCCTGAGGGAAAGCAGATAATATAAGCAATTAATTGACAGGACTGGTAGGTACTGTGAGCAGAATGGCAGGAACAGTGGCAAACTGGAAAGCTCACGCCACAACAGGAACCTGCTACTTAGTTCCAGCTTATTGCTGCCATGGGGAAGGGCAGGACCAGAATTAGCAGACACTCCCATTTCTTAAAAGAAACCAGAAATAAGAATTTTAACTTCCCAAAATTTATAAGGTTAGCAACGTTTCTTAAAATTTTTAAGACACCATATAGCCAAACTAAGCACCTCTAAACGTTTCCTCCCAGGTTCATCAGTTTGTAACACTGCCTTAAAGAGGTAATACATGTTCCAAAATGCATGCTCTAGTTCAGTGACAGAAAAGGGCACACATTAATGTAATTGAATTTTTTTTGCATACTGTTTAATGTATGAAATTCATGTATTAGTTGTACTTAATATTTAATTTTTCAAAAATAAACAAAAACTAATCTTTATAAAAAGTCAGTTCCTTCAAAAAAAGTCTACTATGTTACTGGTAAATCTTTAAACTGATGCTGTATATACATGTTTATGTACATATACATGTACACATACATATACGTGTGTGTGTATATATGTGTGTATATGTGTGTGTGTGCGCGCGCGCATGCGTATATATAAGAAAATTATTTTTCAACTTACTTAGATTAAAAAAAAAATAAAAAAGTAAACACCTAATTTATAGGGCTGTGGTTTTTTTCAGCATCTCAAGCAAAATACGAAAGAAAGATATAGCTGATCCATTTCACAATCAGTTTTTTTTTTTTACTACAAATACTCACCTAAGGATGCATAAACAAATTTTGCCTCCTGATGTGAGTCTGCAGAATCCAAATCTCTGTTTACTTTCAATGTCTGTTAGTACAAAGGTAAAGTGCTGTCCAACTTGATTTTGAGACACCCTAAAATACAGTAACATTATGAAACATTAAACCTTGTGTGAGAATTTTCTTAAAGAACAAAGAAGCGAGAATATATTTATATGTGGCGCTGGTTTTACCTTTCCAGTCAGTTGGTTCTCAGAACAAGAACAATGTTCTAAAACTAAAATGAATGTGATATGAGTAAAGTAAATCATGGGTCAAAAATCAAAATAAGTTGTAATGCTTTATAGACCAAGCAATTCAGCACATACTAATCCCTTTTTAGGAAATCATAGGGTATTTCGCCATATGTTTTCACATGCATAAGAATTCTAATAAAATATTTTATAAATTCTCAAAACATTATCACTGAAACCCTTTTGCTCGACTCTAGCCTCTTTTCCTGATTATTCTAAGACTGCTTAGAGAGGAAACCATGTTGTTTTAGCATCTAACATTCACCACCACCACCAACTCTGTTTAATCACTTCTTCTGTTGACATTCTTACCCAATAAAGTACCATACAAAACAATACTGAGGTTTTTTTTTTGTTTTTGTTTTTGTTTTTTTGCATTCTCTTTTAGAGCTACCATATATTGGGGAATAAATTTCCAAGTAAAAAATAAGAATGTAATATTTAAAAAAAAAACAAGAAAAAGAAAAGCTTACTGGCTGAGCTATAAAGAATTTTAGCTAATTTTGAAGTAAGTATCATATTACCATGATACTACTGTGTAAGGTTCAACATAATAATTAAATTGAATCTTTATTTTGATTTAAAATATATATTTTCTGGTTATATTGGCTATAATCTTGCCATTGGACACCCATAATTGAGCATCTGCTTCCTTGTCCCAAATTAAAATTTCTATGACACCTGAATTTTGGTTTTGAAATAGCCATAGGGAATATGAAACAGCAATTAAATTACTTTACTACAAGTGTGCTGATACTACAAATGGTTTCTAATTGTCAGGAAATACTGTGTTTCAAATGGTAAACATTTAACAAATAAACTTTTAAGTGGACACTTTTTAAAAAAAACTTTTACAAACAACTTCAAAAACCACCCCCAGTGCCTACTGTGCCTTCTTGTGCCCCATGTTCAGAATATCCTTTCATAGCTTTTCTTCATTTTATCCCTACTATTTATTTGGAAACTGCAACTTTAGGAGGGCACAACTGATTGCCCACAGGTGAAGTAAAACAAAGAGCAGCACTCATCAGCACACTCACTAGTACCAACTATCCCCTCATTCAGAAGGCTGTATCTTTGGTGCACTAAAATTTTAGATTCTGACTAATCTTTGCTTGAGAAAAATATTTCCCTAAAATCAAATTTTCTTTGAAAGACGCCTCATAACACACTCTTTAAAAAACTGATAATAGGGTGTGAAAATCACATGAAAAACAATAAATGATCCATTATTATGCTCAAAGGACTATATACTCTGTGCAATTCCAACTAAACGTAGGTAACACTCTTACTCAGTTACTCGGTCAGTGAAATGCAACATAACAAGCTTTTCAATACTGCTAGGAGGGTTTCCTGGTATCCTTCTGTAATATTGCACTATTTCCATAGAACTATTCCTGGGACACAACTAACTATAAGTTTTACAACATCACTCAGATGATCTTTACAATTAGGGTGAAGTGAGATAGAAACCAGGATAATACAGATCTAATGTTTAAAAACAGAATTCTAAGGCTTTGATCAAGAACATTTTTTTTTTTTCTGACAATGCTTATAACATATACCTGAGGAACAAAGGAAGGAAATGGAACCTATTGGCAGGACTGTTTTAACACTTCTCAGTGGTCACAGTAGAGAAAACAAAAGATAAAATGATTTAAAAGGCTTCTTCTTTCCAAGTATTATTTAATTTTGAATCTCTGGCCTTTTTTGTTGGAAGCAGTGAAGAGAAAGTATATTGCATCTTATAAAAAAAACTCATGTAATAATTTTAAAGTGCATGAAGATGGGCTAAAGTTGTCTGAAATGATGACTTATACTGTACCTTTCAACGTCAAAGGGGAAACAGAACTTTGGCACACTCTGTAGTACTTCCTACAAATGTAAATTAAAAAAAAAAAAGCTTTAGAATATTTTTAAAGATGCAGTTAAAACTTTTTTTGAGACATTTTCTAGGAAGAAAAAAGGTTTTTTCCCCCCTTAAGAAAAATAGCACAGGTTCCTAGACTAAAATAATTGATTATTAAAAAGGAATTAAGTTTGTGCTTTGGCAGATTGCACTGACAATGCCACGGAAACCCCAGGAGGGAAAGGCCTGGCCTGAAGGGTATTAACACCCTTCACATCCCCGCTGGGATTCCCTTCAACAAGGCCATATGGATTTTACAAGAAGCACTGCACCATATGGGTAAGCTACGTCTGCTGCTACTTGTACCACAGACTAGCCACAGGGACTTCTGACAGATCCTGGCTCAAAAATATAAATGTTGTTTCAATTAAAATGCAGGCAGAGAAAAGGGAATGAAGTTGGCAGCAGAATGAATTACTGAGAGGTATAACAACTCTACATGTCCCACAGTCAAACAGTTAAAAAAAAAAAAAAAAAGATTTTCTATAGCTAAAGAAACAGTCATTTATAAGGTTCAACTACTGATAAATTCAATAACAGTTAACATTAAGTTTTATCTCAAATAATACTCTTTAAAGAAATGTGAATCTAAAGGAAAGACTTTAAAACAGCATAGCTTCTACTTTGTGTAGTTTAATTTAAGAACTGCCTAATATGAAAATCAATGTTTTAATTAAGCATAGAACATAACCTTAATAGTTTTGGAACCGACAGTGGTTTTACAGTCATTATAAAATAATTTGAAAGTTTTTAGAAATCATACCTATTAACGATTATAGCAAAGTGCAAATAACTGTCAGCCATTTGGCAAAAAAACAGGAAAAGATCTATTTCCTTATATCTAAAAAACAACTTGCAATTAGCTGCAATTCAAAACTTAAACTTTAAAACCAAAGCTAATATCATACAAGTTCCAAACCAGGTAATTTTATAAGACAAAGCAGCAGGTTATGAGGATGTTTCCTATTTAGGGGAAAAAAAAATCATAATGCAGCAGTACCTACTCCTTAAAAAAAAAAAAAAAAAGCCTTGCCTACTATCTACTATCTCTTTACCAATAAAACTTGCACCCAGAGAAATCATCAATATGTAAATATTTAATTTTACATGTAAATATAGTATTGAGTGTTTTAAAATAAAATTTGTCACATTCTTTTAAAATATAGACTGCAATAAGATATCGATTAAAACACTGTAACATTACAGCAGCAATACTAAGAAAGCTTCAAGACCTTAACTTACTGAAGAGGAAAGAAAGGCATCATAAAAAACAACCTTCTGCCTTTAGGGCAGGATCCCCTGATTTCCTTATGAGCATGTACCTTTCAAAGAATGAGCGCAGACTCCATATTTAGAGGACGCTAACTGTGTAACTACTGACAATATTTTGTTAAATGTAATTAAAAGAACCACTAAACTGGAAATAACAAATTATTAGACTGAAAAATAGTTCATTACACAAGAGAATAGTTCATTTGACTAATGCTTAATCCTTATCTTGAAGCCATTTATCGTATTTACTACACACAGTAACACTAGATATCCTCCTACAAAATTACAGAATTTCTGTGATACTAAGGAAAATATATTCAAAATTCAATGTCCACCTCTTACACCCAAATTAGTAATACATTTCACATCGATTTTAAGACTTAAAGAGAATGCTTCCCAGTTAGCTGTCCAATCCTCCACACACCCCCCGCCCCACTTCTTTCCCAACACACATGCACACACTTCTGCACAACAGCCTCAGCTCGCTTCCCAACTGGCAGAAGCATCCCTCAGGGGACAAGTCTTTAAACCTCCGCACTCTTTAAAATTCAACCAGCCAGCAGGTCTATAGACTAGTGTATAAACAGTACAGACAAAAAAAATCCTATCTCAGCTTATGTCAGTGACAAAGCAGCTCAGCAGTTGACTGTTTCTCCCTTGACAATATAAGCTGAGTTTACACAGATCAATAGCTGGAAGTCCTACCTAGCTCCCAGGGCTCGATTTTCTTCCTTAATTACAGGTGCTATTCAAACTGAAGTTAAAAAAGAAAAGAGGGAGAGAAAGAGTTGGAGGGAAGAATAAGATGCATGCAAATTGCTTTTTTGGATCCTTTTAGCAATAATACTTCACATAAAATTGTATTTTTACATTTATTGGAAAAGTGTTAATAAAGGCTGGTCTTTCTACCATTCAGTGTTTTTGATATGACATATACATATATACACACACAAAAAAATTCTAGGCTGGCATTCAGAGATTATGTGATAGGTTTAGAATAACACTCTTCAGAAGTTATCAGCTTCCCCTTTTTCTACATGCTGTTGTTTTTAAGAGAAATACCTGGTTTCCTTAACAATAAAAATTATCTGGGTTTTCAGAATCCTCTTATTTCTCCAAAATATTTTATTTCTACACAAAAAAGAGCATACTCACTAACACATGTCAAATGTTAAAAATCAAAAGTAGAAAAAATACAAAATTATAAATAGCAAAATATGAGGGATAGTAACATTTATATGTCTGTATATGCCCTTAAAACAACAAATCTATACTCATATTAATGACTGGAAACAAAGACTGATGAAAATTTATACACTGATTTTTCGTCCCATAACAATGTCTGTCTATTAATAAGCATTATAATCAAATTAATTCTGTAAGGAAGAAAAAAGTAAATTGCTAGTGTTAGAGTGGTACATTATTTATCCCAGGAGGATACCATTTAGCACTATAAACTTATCAAATAAAAAGGGAAATAAGCATTTAAGAAAGAATCAATTTTTTAAAAATATGTAAAATTTACCTCCTGTTCAAAGTTCAATAACTACAGATGTCTTAGAATTTCTCTGAGAAAAAAATTCTATGATGAAATGAGATATGTCATTGTTGATATCTGTAATTGTTTTTCCTCCGTCTCAACTGTTCTTCTCCTACCTTACACTGAAATAGTGGTGTTCTCTGAGGCTCAGTATTTTCCCCTCTTCCCTTCTCAGTAATGTCTACAGCGTGGGCAATCTCATCTATACCCATGGTTTCAACTATCATTGCTGATGAGTGACTACCAAATTTCTGAGTCTTGTTGTTTAAACATATCTGTAAACTCCAAGATTATACGTCTAACTACTTACTAGTATCATCTTCTTAAATGCTCCCCAGACGCTTAAAAACTTAAAATGTCCAAAACTGAAATCATTCTTTCATTTATAGTTCTTATCACCAAGAATGCCAGTACGATTTACCCTGTTATCCAAACCAAATACACTGGAATCATCTAGACCTCTCTCCTTCTCTAATCACCATATATAGTCAATCATTCACCAAGTTGTTAATTCAATTTCGTAAGTATCTTGCTCCCATGGTTCTCAATGGGAGGGTGAAGAAAACTGGAAGGAAGATGAGAAGGTATCAGAATCCCTTGAGAGAGTTTTTCAAAATACATTTGATCATCTACACTTAGACCCTGTTCCTACACGGTCCCACAAGAGTCCTGAGTCTTTAACTTCAGTTGGAATATCAATTTTAATTAGACTAATTATATAAGTTAGGGTGCTTGCCATATATGCTGCTGTTGTTGTCAGCTGCCATCGAGTCAGCTCCAACTCACGGTGACCCTACGTACAACATAACAAAACACTGCTCCGTCCCGTGTCATCTTCATGATCACTGACAGGTTTGAGTCCATTGTTGTGGCCATTGTGTATGCCTTCCAACCTAAGGTGCTCATCTTCCAGCATTATATTGGACAATATGCTGTTGTTATCTATAGGGTTTTCATTGGCTAATTTTTGGAAGGAAATTGCCAGGCCTTTCTTCCTAGACTGTCTTAGTCAGAAATTCTGCTGAAAACTGTCCACCATGGGTGACCCTGTTGATATCTGAAATACTGGTGGCATAGCTTCCATCATCATAGGAACATACACTCCACTGCAGTACAATAAACTGACAGATGAGTGATGGCTGATGTATATAAGAATAGTTATTAGCTCATACCAAGAAACAAGGCAGAATTGTTCAGGGGCTAGTTAATTCAGCACCTTTTCAAGGACTCAGGACCCACTGTCCTTCTACTCTGCTGTCCTGAGTTTGTCAGCTTTGTCCTCAACTACCTCTACTCTTGGTCACAAAATGAGCTGCCAGAGTTCAACACATCACACGAAGAGACAGCAGTATCCAGTGAAAGAAGTATTGCTTTCTGAGTCTCTGATGAAACCTTTCCCAGAATTCCCACTGGATGACTTTCCCATTATATGTCATTGGCCAGAAGAGCACGAGCCACTCCTAAACTAATCACTGGCATGGAAAATGGTTATCTATGCTTGAAGGCTAAGTCAGAGGAAAAGCCATCATTCAAACCCATCCACTTTCCATTAACCATGATACATGTAACTTCAAAGAAGTTTTCATGAAGCATATTTTCTTCTGTAAGACTTCTCACAATAGTATTTATCAGATAAGAATTAAATGTATATTAAAGTTCTCAAGAAAAATTATAACACAATATTACATAAGACAGTTTTCAAATATGCATAATCTTATTCTTGTAAGTAATACTTTCAGAATCATTTTGCAATAAGGTGGTTACTTGTCAATTCTGATTTAATTTTCACAAAGACCAGGAATTTCTAAAAAGACAATTACTTAATTTTGAATAGCATCTCCCAAAATAAATGAGAATTAACTAATACCAGGAATTCATTCAATCTATTTGTGCTTTACTCAGGACAGTAATACATTTTTTTTCTCAAAAGAAACATACATTGACCTACTTCATCAGAAGCAGGTTGCGCAGTGCAGAACTGAGATTCCCCACCTGTGTGCTGAAATGTTTGAGGGCACCACAGCAAACTTTCTGGAGCACTATGAGGTATTTTACATTTTTTAGGAAAACATGGCTATACTCATTTTCTAGCAAACGCCACATGAACTGCAAGCTCAAGGTAGCTCACATTTCAAGATTCAATTGTACTCCATT